ATGGCACAGGTGTGGGCCTAGGCAGCAGGGATGTGGGCCTATGTCCATAAGCATCTTAGTTTAAACTTAACTTAATAAGATAAAAGACAATTTTAGGATAGTGGTTTGGAAAGAGGTTGAATAGGAAGTATTTGATGTTAAATTAGAAAATAAGATCAACTAAAGATTCTTAAAATTAGGAACTCACTATTGACAGCATTTATCATTTATTAGGAGTGAACTCGAAACTAGTTAACATCTATTAAAATGGAAACTCATCATATGCCTCACCTATAAATATTAAAACAATTCACAAAAGTAAACACAGGTTGCAGAGTGCCTTGAATCTAGAGATTGATGGGTTCTCTGCAACGAGCTCTAAAACTTAAATTTTGCGGAACTTGATTTTTACATTGTTGTATTTTCTTGGGTTTGCCCCAGTGGTTGGTAATGGATGATGTTAAATTCCACATGAATTAGAAAATGTTAAATATGCATTAACTTTCTAAGTTGAACTAATTTTCCTTCATGAGTTGGTTTCAAATGTTCAGCTAGTTAACCCATTAAACGAGATTCCAGAGCAAACTCACAGCATATTTGCAAGCTCGGCAAAGTGATTCCATTGTCCGCATGTCCCAAGCATGACTAAACCAAAATCATCAAAAGAAAAGGATTACCTAAGGTAGGAAAATGTAGGATTACAAAGTAAATATTCAATAAAACAAAAAAGAAATACTTACAGCTCAAATATGACATTGAAAATTTTCCAATGCCTCCCAATTGCATCAGCTACAGCTTCAGGGTGATTTACGTACCTAAAATTGGTTACAGTAGCATGTTGAGGAAAATTTAATAGACATGAGGGAAGTATATCACAAAAAAGAAAAGAATGTTAATCAGACCGAAAGATGTATGCAAATCGATCAATGTGAACTGTTAACTCGCAAGCATGTTTCTTCTCCAGACCTTCTCCTAAAGCTTCCTGGTTATCAATTATTAGTTCATATTATCAAGAGCAGAATGTCACAGAATGAATTTATTAATGATGAAAGACAGACCTCTAAAGGAGTTGCAACTGACAGGCATAACTTCTCTAATGCATTCTTAGCATGATCCATAGGAAGTTCCGTGATAACCATGCTGCAAAATAAAAATTTTAGCCACGCAAATGAAGTAGATAACACAAAATAATAATGGTAATAGTAAATAAATGTATAGTGGGTAAACTCATTGTGCTCCTTTAGAGAAAAAAAAAGGATCACCTCGGGCCGCAGCAATTAGCAGACATACCTTAAGGCTTCAACAAGATGCAATGAGTCCTCAGCAGAGACTTTACAACCACCTCCCCCATTAATAGCCATACAGTAGATGTTGAAGAGACCATCAAAATAGCCGCAAAGATTTTTTCTACAATCTAAAATTGAATCAATCAAATCAAACTGAAAAACATTTTCCTCATGCAACAATAGCTTTTGGTCCAGGAGACTATTATTGTGAACTTGAATAAACAGAACAAGAGAGAAATGTCTAAAGCTTAAGAACAGAGAACACGAAAAGGTTGAAAGCAAAAACCAAAAACATATGTGCATACTAGAATATATAGCTCGGATAGGGAGAAACCCATAACAAAATGAAGAATAAAAGGCATTCAACAGCTAAAAGACGCATTGCTGTTACAAGGTAGGAGCCGCCCTTCCATCAAGCTCTTTGCTCAGCTTTTACATACTGAAAAATAATGTAGCAGTACAAAAACAACCATACAAAAGGCCCCATGAAAATGAACCAATATCAATAGCTTCTATTCTATTTTCATATCTATTGCTCAGAACAGAGAAATCCAGGTACGCTGAAAATTGCCTCCAGCAAGGAGCTTCTTGATTCCTGTGTTGATACTTTTAACAACTCATTTAGAAAAGGATCACTGCAAACCCTTCAAATTAAATTTTAGATCAACATTTTGTTTGCTATTTTTCTATATGTTGATTTTTTAACATCTGTCCTTCAAAAAAATCTGGAAGCAGATCTTTTTTGAAATTTGGTAGAAGGTCATAACTTCCGGTTTTTGTAAAACAACTAGGACCTCACATTCATTGTAAATAAAGGAACTATCAAAAAACTCCTGATATTTCAGATCCAGAGTATTTGATTACTTATGTAAAGAAACCAACTTTAACATGTGGTAAAAAGTGGAAGTAAAAAACCAAAACATCAAAAAGAGACCCAGTCAGCAAAATTAAAATCCCTTTGAGTTCTTCCTAGTTAATCGAAGAAGTTTTACACCTGAATCGAATTACTTATGCTCAAATATTAGATCAAGAGTGCATCTTCCATCAAGAAGATAAACCAAGAAAACAATCTTTAGAAAGTAGAAATGCTGGCTTCTTATCTCCAATTTCATTTAGGAGATTGATCTCCTCTTAGCACAAGCTTATTCTTTTAGTTGTAACTAGTATATAGATCGCATTTCATTTCGCGTACTAAATAAATTTATTATATATATATTAAATAATATCATCAATTATATATTTATATTATATAATTATCGATTATAACAAAATTTTACCAATAATCTGGACTAATCATGTACAAAAATATGATTAAATATTTTTAATAATTTAGAGTATTTTATAGAAAAACAACTATTTAAATATAAATCTTGAATAAATTTAAGAAATAAAATAAGATTATGATAAAATGCTTTTGCCAATGTTTAAATAAATTAATGAGATTATTTCTAAAAAGTAACCCCCACTTTAAGCTGATGAGATTGCTTTTAAAAAATACCAACCAGCATTCAGAAGTCGCACCCCTCAATTTGACAACTACCGATATACTAGTCAAAAACTAAAGTGCAGTAAGACAAGTAGCTTCTAAAGATACTATTCACTGAAATTACACTGTAAGCAGGAAAGTTTTTTCTCTGCTCCCTCTAAATAGGCAAGCATTTTCACAATAAATATAAAGTACAGTTGCATTCAGCACGTTATAGAAATTGTAAATTACATAGTTGCAATTAGATCCATTATTTTGAAAAAATAACAACTTAGTACTTACATATCAGACATGTCTGTTAATTTCAGTCTAATTTCTCAACAGATGTTGAATGATAGTTAAATATGAAACAGATGTCAATTATGTAGCGGTGAAAAGTGAACATAGCAACTTAGTACTTACATGTCAGACATGTCCTTTAATTTCAATCTAATTTCTCAACAGATTTTGAATTATAGTTAAATATAAAATGGATGTTGTTTATGTAGTTGTGAAAAGTGAACATAGCAACATAACAATGAATCCTACAGAAAGAACACAAGAGATGAAAATTTTAGCTTCCTTGGGGCAAAAGAAGCAATGAAAAGAGTGTAAGTGTTGAAAATGTGAAAGGAACATATTATGTAAATTAGCTTATTATTTTGAAAACTGAAGGACTTACTTGCAATTATATCAAAACATCAATAACTTACATGTAATTTACCCTTTAAACTTGAGAATTCATTCTTCTAATTTTTTTTTAGCATTTTCATGACATCACCAAGAACCTTCAGAACTAAGTTACTTGAACCTCAAAGATATAAATACTAAAGGCTCCATAATTTACCAAAAGAAGAAGAGAATTGAATGGGCCTTGGAAAATTACAGTAACTAAGGTAGTGAATCTTACTCATCCATATAAATTACCCATTATAACACTGATCATCAAACCCAGTGAAAATATGCTTCTCTTGTATTCCCCAGAAGAAAAATAATAAAAATAAAATAGATACACTAACAAGAGAAGTAAAATACCATCACAGATGTGTCTGAATGCCAGAGCAGCGGCTGCTGCAGAATCTTCAGATGTGCCCATTCCACTCATGAGAATACTTATAACTGAAGGCAGTATAGACAGGCCAGTTGACGAGAAATCAAGCCATTTTGAGTATGCCCCAACTAGTAAGCAAACTGAATATAAAGAGTCCATCAGACGGAAAATTAATTAGAATGATGTGTGCCCCAACAAGTAAGCAAACTGAATATGAGTAGTCCATGAGATGCAAAATAATGAGAACGATGAGCACGAAGCATCAGATCTTCTGAAATCAAGTAGTGAAAAATCCCTTGCAGATTTAGCAGAGGAAACCCATGGTGCCTTTCTCTAAATAAGATCCACCTTTCAAATACCAAAAAAATTGAAATAAAGTACCAGATTATAAACTATGACAACCGACTTACCTGTCTGAAGTAGCTGTGGTTGTTGAGGAAGTTTCTGAAGCAAGGACATAACCTGTTCAAGTACATAAACCAGAGGAAAATTATACTATAAGCAATCTGGAAACACAAAGTGAAATGCTACTTGACTGTAAGGCTACTCTCTGTTCATCTTGATTTCTTGGAATAGAAATAGGAATATACCAGAAATATAATTTTAAAATAACTAGTGAGTTTGTGATATCTACCTCCATAAATGGAAACAAATATTCTTAAGTTTGAGTTCGTTCAGTTGCGAATCAAATATGAAAATAATGATTACATTCTATATATAGAAAAATTGAGATCTATGAATAAAAGGGATATAGAACAAACTTAAATGAAATGAACATATGCATTTGTAGCAGAGCAGAAGTAAGAAATCATTGCCAAGGAGAGCATCTATTGCATGTGAACATCCAAGAAATTGAGTTTAAGGCCTGTGGCAAAAGACAAGTTCAAGAACAGAATTTCCAAAATGTAGACCTGAGGCATCACTTCTGCTTCAACAACTGAAACATAATTTGATATGGCTCGGATGCAGAACAGGACAGCCTCTGTTGGACGCCATTCACTATAATTATTTCCGCAGCAACCCATGGCCTTTGAATATCACAAAATATAAAGTCAAATAATGATAAAAGGGGCTTCATTTCAAACAAAAATCAAATATACAGAATTACAAAAAAAGAAAAAAAAAACCTAGAAATTAGATAAACAAAACACAAGATTAGGCTTATCGAGACCAACAAAACTGTTATTCGGAGACAATGACTTTGACAATTTTCTGAGTATTATAATATAAGAGAAATATATGATATTTCAATGTGTAAAGACTGCATTTATTACATTTTAGATCAAAAGGTGCACACTCTTCATAGAACTTTAGTTTTTTCAAAAAGCTTTTGTAAATAAAAAAGTTCATCAAAAATTAGGAACCGAAATCTATCTCCTTTCCCCTGCACCCTAAATGCTTGCTGACTAATTGATATATCTTTGGATATCAGTATATACTTCATGGTAAACATAACCACTGCATATAAATATAGATCCATCAAAGGGCCAACAGGAAAGCAGTTATTATGAAACCCATAGAATAAATAACAATAAAGAAAGCTGGTGAATTATCTTGTATCTTATCATAACATATAAGTGTTTTGTGTCAACTCCATCCATCTTTTACATTTCATTTGACAGAATTCCACTTCCTTGATTTGCATCAGAAGGAGTTTTAATCTCCCAACATTGATGCAAAAACAAACTCAATGATGAAGATTATTATGCTTAAATAAATTATTAATTATACTTCTTTTAAGTGTGAAATTATTATATTGTATTGAGTCTATTATTTTAGTTTCCGTAACTTTAGGATTTTACTTTTTATTATTTAGTTCTCCTATTTGAATTACGATTAGTATTCCTAATATTTTTAGTATTAATACTATTTTGTTGAAAAAGTATTCCCAAACTAGCTTTGATTTTCCTAATCTAGTTAGGAAAAACCTATTTACCACTCCATAAATATGTTTCAGCAACTTGCAAGGATTCATTCAAGCATTCAACAATACACTAGGATTTCTCAATTTTCTGGTGTGATGCAATCAGATCCTTAGATGTGATGTTTAAAACTTACTAGATGTAATTTCTAAGAAATCCTAAGTATAATGTCTAGGTTTTTAACCCCTAAATTCCTAATTGGAGGAACCAACTCTATTAGTTCTACATCACTCAAGCATTCATACACTTCTCATCCTACTGAAATTGTAGTCTTCATTAAAAAACTAACAGCATCTGACGTCCAACTTAATAACTTCAACACACTTTCTATTTTTTCAAGATGGAGACATTAAGTGCATACCTCTTTCTCACTGGAATATAGCAGGGAGAGGTTCTTCAAAAAAGAAGTGGCACAGGGGACGAATAAACAGATAGAGCAAAATATGAGAAGAACTAAGAAAAAACTAAGCACTCCGATTTTTAAAGTTGCACAAGTATATGGATATATGAAATGAGAAGCATCTCAGCTGCCATATAAGTTGCTGTAGTTCTAAATACAGTGGTAAAACAAAAGCATCATGTGATGTAGAACTAGGTCTTATTTGGAAAAGATTTTCTATTAAAGAAGTTTTATGCAATTATTATTAGTTAGATTTAAGTTATTAAAAACTTAGGCCATCCAACTAGATTTTAAGTTTAGAAATTTCTTATTTTCTCTATTTTAAGTCTAAAAACTTCCAATTTTTTCTTTTACTATGTTAATGTTTTTCTTATTAGTTGCAAATAATGGCGATACAAAGGCGAGTAACTATAAACAATATAAAGAATGATGGTTAATTAACTGTTGTGTTAGTGTTTTATTCTTTGCTCTCTCTCTGTTCTTTTCTTTATTATTATTCTGTCTAATCTCTTCCCTTTTATTTTAATGGGTGTTATAGTTTCCTAAGGTTTCTTGTGTGTCAAAGTTCAATGGGTTTGATTTAGATTCAATTAGTAGACAAATATTCATAATCAATAACTAAAGGAAAGTGCAAACTTAATATGTATGCTTTGAACACACTTTCAAAAGCTACCTAAGTCTAGAAATTATTATTTCTAATATAATCAATGGTTTAAAATCAACTTTTAAGCTAAAAGGCAGGAAGCACCCACAAAAATCTTGAAAATAGAAAGAAACTCCTATGTGAAAACAAAGAATAATGAAGCAAAACAAAAAAGATATGATACCTCAAGGAGTTTCACATAGAGAATTTTCAATGTTGAATCACCTCCTAATATTGATGCTGCATCAATCAAAACATCCGCGACAGCTAGCAACATCACAAATTTGTTAGCACTTTCGAAGTGTATAAGGTACTGGATCTCATCAAGATAAATATGAAGGAAGATGCAAAAGTAACCAAATTCAACATCAAAAGGCAACACCAATAAATCACATAGGAATCTAAAAAAATGCTGTGAATAAAAGAAGAAACAGAAAGAAGGACAGCATTCGAACAAAGAAAAAGAAAAATTGTGGGAAAAGGTAACTTCAAGATGCATCGAATTAGGAAAAAAATGGCAACCTGGTAGCACTAAGAACTGAAACTGTGTCCACGACATTCTCATCTTGGCTTTTACAGGCTCATTAGCTATGCAGTAGATAAAAATTTGCTTTCACAGTAGGAGGATCCACAATCAAAGGAAAAAATTATTGATTAGAAAAAGGATTTACTATTTGCATGAGCTTGTCTCTCTACCGGATTGTGCAATACCCTACTGCCACTTTTCGGCTACTAATCTAGTTCGGGTGCTTGACAACAAGCATTCTAGCAATAGTTGCTAGAATGACACATGGCTGCATGGGGTGTTCATCGATCCAAAATTAGACCAGACTGATGATCAACTAAGGATGGGGTTTAGAACCCAAGACCAAACCAAAATGGACAATTTTTTTTTATTTATTAATTCAAAAATTAATATACTCAAAATAATTTTTTTAATAAAAACTAAAAATAAACTATTTTCAATGGAACAAATTATTGATTAGAAAAAGGGATTTAGTATTTGCACCAGCTTGTCTCTTTAGTGGACTGTGTAATTTGCTACTGCCACTTTTTAGCTGATAATCTAGTTTGCATCAGCTTGTCTCTCTACTGAACTGTGTAATTTGCTACTGCCACTTTTTGGCTACTAATCTAGTTTGGGTGCTTGACTACAAGCACCTTCTTGGGGGAGTGTGTTTTGTTATGAGCCACATGACTACTAGAAATGAGTGAAACAGTTGCTAGAGTGACACACGGCTGCACGAGGTGTTCATCCATCCAAAATTCGACCGGACTGATGACCAATTAAGGATGGGGGTTAGGACCCAAGGCTAGACTAAAATGGACAATTTTATTTATTAACTAAAAAAGTAATAAACTTAAAATAAAATATTTTATTAATAAAAACTAAAAAAAAAATTACTTCATAATTTTTATTTTATATTTGAGTCCAAACTGGTCCATTTAAGTCCAGACTGGAATTGGACCGAAATAAACTTAATCTTTTTGGTTCCTTGATGTCTAAACCAAGGACCAGACTAAATAATGTTTGATCCACTTTTACTTCAGCCAGACCTAGAATGTGAACACCCTAATTACCGCCAGAAAAGAAAATATATTTTTATTTATTTAGTTATCTAGTTTATTTGCTGATATAATTAGTTATTGAGATAAGTACAAAGGTAGTTTCTAGGATGTGGACAGAAAAGTATTAAGGTAGTTTCTAGGATGTGGGCTGATAAGTACTAAGGTAGTTTCTTAGAGATGGAAGTAGTTACTTATGCACGTTTTTTTTAAAAAAAAAAATAAAAAGTATGAATAATATTAACAGACACCAAGAGAATGTCAACTCATTTACAGATTAGTTACATATCCACCAAAATATCAACGAAGTCCCCCAAATACTCCATAAAATAGAAAGGATAACCCAAAATAAAAAAGTCAAGAGTCTGGAACCATTTATTCCTAATCCTATCAAAATCCTTCACATAATCAACCCCCTC